GAGAAGATACTAGCTAATAAGGAGTGGAAGCAAGATCCAAGCCCAGGCCATCTGACTCCACATCTATGCAAACACCACGCTCTGGTGACCGACACCTTCTAAATGAAGGTATCCTGCTGTTCCTTGTGTCAGACTCTTCTTCCTCTAGAAGCTTTCAGTCTAAGAGCTTAGCAGTAAAGGGAGCTAGAAATTAAAAAAAAAAAAAATCTTCCAGAGAAAATGAAGAGGACAGACTATCTTTGAACAAAAATAAATTCCAGGAAGCAAAACATAATCATGGTTCATAAAATATGCCTCAACTTGGTATTTCCTTCCTACTTTGATCTATGAAGTCTGTGCTTGGAGAAAAAGGAAAGGAGTGTTAAAACATAAATGTTAGAAGGAGGAAAATGTTTTCTGAGTCTGTTGACATGGAATCATGAGAAAGCATTGACTAAGATGTAAAAAGAGGTCATATAAATGTCCAGTAGCTGGAAACCACTTGCAAAGTCATTTTAAGAGTTCTGCTTAGGGTAAGGGAGGTGATACTGGGAACCCCATTCTTCCATTTTGAAACCCACATCTTTCACATACTACCTATCACCCATCACTACCACCTTTTCTCCCCACTTCAACCACCCTACCAGGCTTTTCTGAGAAATTAAAGAAACTATGGAAAATTTTCTTAACTGTAATGACAACTATTAGTGAATATTTTGGCTTTGACGATATGCTTGCCCAGGATTTAGCACTTTAGTGTATGATCTTTCTTAATGCTACAACCCAGGGAAGCAATACTATGTGTAGCCCCATCTTAGCATCTCGGAAAACTGAGGCATGAGGAGGTTAACAACCTGCCCATGATGTGGGTACTGGGAGTGGAGGCACCTGTGCCTTGTGGCAGGTGCCACAGCAAGAAGGTCGGGAGCATAGGCACCATCTAGTGCTAGGATTTTGCTCATAGTCTCATTCAACAGATGAGGAAAATGAGACAAAAATGACTTGACCCTGGGCCCTCTTTTGAGGGCAGAACCCATGACTATCACTGTAGTCTATGAATCATCACATCTCTAGCTCCAAGCTGGATGGAGCTTTCCCTCACCCGTCCCATTAACTCACCACTTCTCCAACCTGAACCATCAGCAGACTGGCCTCTCAGTCACCTCTGGTTTTCTTAGGTTTTCAACTCTCCCCCATCAAAAAAAAAAAAATTGAGAAGCTGCCACTACCTGAGGATGTACTTCATGTCAGGCTCAATTAATGCTCCTATCATACCTCTGGGACAAATAGTATTATCCTCTTTTTTACAAATGGAAGGATTGGCCTAGAACTTAAACCAGTTGCCCAAGTAGTTAGCAGCAAGTTCTTAGTCACTAGACCGTCTCACCAAAAAAAAAAAAAAAAGGAACAACACCCATTTCACCTTTCTTCTGGGTTTATCCTGACTCTGCTGTGCATCTAACAGTGCTTTTATCATCTACCACATGCCTGAACCAACCTAGGAAATTAAATTCTTCTATTGAACTACCAGCCCATGCAATTGGAGCCTGAACAGAAGATGGGGTTCAGACTCCTCCTCCTTCCAGGCTAAAGATACCTCCCATATATTAAGGTCTTGCAGCCACCAAACAGCACCTAGATCCTTCTGTGATAAGCAGTGATGCATGAGTTTGCGTGTGAAGACCCGAGAGCATCATAAGTCAAAAAATGCAGAGGGCAAGATTCCTGAGATAATTGAAATTGACCCATAACTCAGCAGCCACCATGGGAAGTTCTATCACTTTGCAAGTTTTGCTTTCATAACTAGAAAGCAAATCAGAGGGGCATGATCAGATTTCTAATTTGAAACCTCAGACATGCAATGTCATATTTAATGACCCTGGGAAAAAGATACTCATTATAGATCTCAACCCATCTAAATTAAAACATGAAACCTAAAAATTAAAGCAGAAAATTCTCAATTTCTCTGGTTTGTGTGACCACGGGGTGGGTGGGGGAATCAAGCAAGTGTACACATACTCTTGAGGGCTTTGCTGTGCCTGAAACCATTTCAACAGTAATTCTATGAAAGAGAGCCAGGAGCGGGACAAAAAAAAAAAAAAAAAAAGATTAAAAAAAGAATCGAACAAATAATCCAATGGATCCATGGTCCAAAGACGTGAACAGATACTTCTCAGAAAAAAAGATTCATCAGGTCCTAACTTTAAGGTTTGGCCATCTGGGTGAATGGCAATTTCTCATGGCCAATTTGAACTATCGTGTCAGGGAAGATTATCTCTCTGTTGATGGCCAATTTCATCTGTTCTATGATGTAGAGCTCAGATTCCTATCAAAGGGGCAAACTGCTAGCTTCAAGTCTTCTCTCAATGCTAAGTGGACTGAAAGATGGTGCAATCGATCAGCACTGTGTCCAGAGGCATAAAAGGTGCCTCTGACATGGTGGGCTAAAAATTCATCTCTCTTCATAAGTTCTAAACCCCATTCAGTATAGATTTCCTACAAGTTCGGATAATCATAATCTCCAGAGACTGTTTTAAATCTCTTCCTTCCATTTCCCACCCACCCTGTCCTTCGTGCTACTGTATAAAGACTGCTATGGCCTAGAGGAATAATCTGGATCACCAGCTTTCCCATCTGCTCATGATTAAATTCTTTCTGGACCTAAATCCAGGAAGAGGGAGCCACTTCCTATCTGTGGCAACACCTCAATAGTCCAGAAATATTAGCATGAATTTAGCTGTTAATAGACATATCAATTCAAAACTTGTTTTCCCTAAATATGCATTGCTAAAGAGAAAAGTTGAAAACTGGGGACCAGGGTCAAGGTTATGCTAGCAAATACCAAACATGAAACATGATAAACATCTTCCTAAGGATGAAGGAACATTTGCAAACAGCACAAAAGCTTAAATAATTTTTTTTTTAATTCAACTACTTTGGAGCCTTTCCTTTATTCCCTATAGCTCAGGGACAGTTAACCTTCATTCCTAAATCCAACCATTTAATATAAAATGGTTGTTGTGTACAATAATCCAAGTGTTTGTAAGTATAATTGGCAAACTAGAAAATTCTTCAAGAAACTTAAAACCACACAAGGTTAAATCTACATCCTTGTAGAATAAAGAAACTAGGACAGGAGTCCAGGTAGCTCCCAGAAACACCCTTTGGTCATTTTATCATCTGCCCTTGTAAATATCTTTCAGAACGAGTTCACTCCAAAGGGTCAACTTAGAGCTTCCTCCCTGATGTAACTTCATTATTATTCTCTTCCCCATCTTTGTCTTAAAATTTTAATTGGGATGAAGGAGAGAGTGGTTCAAATAGCCTGGAGTCTAAACTATTTGAATCCTTTCTAATCAAGACAATTAAAAAAAAAAAAAACTCTTGGTAGACATGACCCCCTCCCCCATGCTTCATGAGGAACTAGGGGCCTTTATGGGACAGAAAGAATGAACAAAGGACAAGACAGGCAGCCCGAGTATAAAAATGTAGTCAATTGTCTAAACTGCCTCTGTGACAATCAATGGGTTGGTATTTCTGGATCAGGAACCTGGAGGCAGGCCTGCTACAAGAGTCATGGTTTTATGGTACGAGTGGACACTGAAAAGTCCCCAAGGAGAATGTGCTTTCCAAGAATGCATCAGCGCAGACATGCACACCGCAGAGGCACAGAAGCTCACAAACATTTAAGTCATGTCCCCAAATCATGGTGGGTCCCAACCCATTGATTCAGGAAATTACATTTATGGGTAGGTTGAAAGTTAACGGAGCTTCCCATCAGGTCCACTTTTTAAACAAAAAGCTACTCCATGGCCTTCTTGTTAGGGAGAGCCTTCTCTAATCTTACCATGAAAACAGGGCAACCTGGTATTCAATGAAGTAATTAAGGACCAATCAAAGCAATTACTTGACATTCCCTGCAATCGCCATATGAAATTTCTAACCCTCCCCCCAAATCAAACTAGATTTTGCACTGAAAGAGACTTAGATAATTTCAGCATCTATAATAAGTTATTATGGTAAACCAGCTTGTAGAGTGCGGCCCACCTCCTTTTGAAGAGCAACATTAGGTAGGACAATGTTCACTGAGCTCTTCCCTGATAGAAAATGTGAGACTTGAACAGGTCACAGGAATGAGGTGAAATGAAAATTCTGACCAGGACCAGAGGAATCCCCGATGAAGTATTCAGAGGACAAATTTTAAGGAGGCACTGACTAAGGTTGAGCCAGTGCCAACCCGGAGCTTTATCCACTAGGTGTGCAATTGCAAAAGCACTCCTGTCACTTGTTACACACTGAAAGTATAAGAGAAACAGCCACAAGCAAGTCCATCTGTAAAACATCCATCAAACAATGGGGGTGTGGGGCTGAGGGATCTCCTGGAACAAAAAACAACAACATCCAGGCCAATCCTACTTTATGGGATAAAAATCAAGAATAGTAAAAGAACTCAAAAATCACCTCTCTATCGATCTGCTCTGAGCATTGGAAACGTATAAAGCTAAAAGCTAATGTGTAAATATCTGCTATGTGCCAGCTGTTCTAAATGCATCAGCTTATATAATCTTCAAAACAACTCCTGTGGGTAGGTGTTATCTTTATCATTATTGTTGCAGAGATAGGAAACTAAAACCAAGATTTCCTCAAGTCACCCAGATCTAGCAAATAGCCACCATGACTATTCTATCATCTTGAGACACTGTATTTTAAATCAACTACAGATATCATTTTCAAAATAATATATAGTAGCCCACCCCTAGTAAGAAATCACTTCAAACATAACCTTTTGTGCGCTGGCGGACAGACTTGGTGAGAAACTCGTCTTCATTAGCTTAATGATGATTTTGAGAGGCACAGAAAGCCTGGGTCATGGCTCTAGTAGTGGGACAAAGAAACTGAAGTGCCAAACGGGGCTTGAGTAAGGGGAAGAGCAAGCAGTACTCAAATTCTTTGAAGCCAAATAAGCTGCGGTTCCTCCCACCACACACCCCCTGAAGGACTTTGGAAACCATGCGACTGACCTCCACATCCCGGTGAAGCTGAACATGGTGCTCACGCAGCGGGGGAGGGGCGGTGGGTCGAGTCCATCCAGGCGCATGAGCAGAGCGGGGACACCAAAGAGCACCAAGTACTTCACATAGAAGAAGAGCACTTGGGCCAACGCCAGTCCTCCTGAAAGGCAAAGGGGCTCATTCTTAGAAACACCAGCCAGAAGGGAGGCAGTCTCCTGGGACAGAAGAAGACAGACACTGGAGGAGCACATCACCTGCCCCACTTCTCCACCAACTCTTTCTCCCCCACATCTCACACATTTTAAACAGTATCTCATCATGGGTTTTATTCCATAAAAATCTTGAACAAATAATGACATCTCCTTTATTATTCTGACAGACAACAGGACCTTATAGCAATCTTTTGTTGTTGTTTCTTTCAAACACATGATAGATGATAGGCAAGGGAGTACCAAAAATAAAATTAAATTTAAAAAATGTTGTAGTTAAAAGCTATTAGAAAGGGAAAACTCTTCCCAATCCTTTCAAAAATCTATCAGTTCATACCCACTAGGATGGCTGGAGTCAAAAGTCAGACCAACAAGTATTGGTAAAGACGTGGGGAAACAGAACCATCCTACAGAGGTGTAAAACAGTATAGCCGCTTTGGAAGATAGTCCAGTGGTTCCTCCAACAATGCCACAGTTACCATCTGACCCAGAAAACCAGCCGTTGGTGTGAACCCAACAGAAACACAAGCAGATCCACACAGAAATGTATACCCAATATAAAGAACTCAGAAAGCTAAATACCAAAAACACAAATAACCCAGTCAATAAATGGGCCAAGGACCTGAACAGACATTTCTCAGAAGATGATGTACAATCAATCAACAAATACATGAAAAAAATGTTCAACACTAGCAATTATAGAAATGCAAATCAAAACCACTCCAAGATTTCATCTCCAGTCATAATGGCAGCTATTATGAAGACAAACAACAATGTATTGGCAAGGATATGGGGGAAACGGATACTCATACACTGCTGGTGGGAATGAAAATTGGTGTAGCCGATATGGAAAGCAGTATAGAGATTTCTTGGAAAATTGGGAATGGAACCACCATTTGACCCAGCTATCCCTCTCCTTGGTCTATACCCAAAGGACGTAAAAACAGCATACTACAGGGACACAGCCACATCAATGTTTATAGAAGCACAATTCACAATAGCTAAACTGTGTAACTAACCTAGGTGCCCTTCAATAGGTGAACAGATTAAAAGATATGGCATATACACACAATGGAATATTACTCAGCAACAAAATATAACAAAATCATGGCATTTGCAGGTAAATGGATGGAGTTACAGAAGATAATGCTAAGTGAAGTTAGCCAATCCCAAAAAACCAAATGCCAAATGTTTTCTTTGAAATGAGGAGGCTGATTCATAGTGGGATAGGGAGTGGAAGCAGGGAGAAATAGATGAACTCTAGATAGGGCAGAGGAGTTGGAGGGGAAGGGAGGGGGCATGCGGTTATTGATGATGGTGGAATGTGATGATCATTATTATCCAAAGTACATGTATGAAGATATGAATTGGTGTGAATATACTATGTATACAACCAGAGATGTGAAAATTGTGCTCTAGATGTATAATTTCAATAAGAATTGTAATGCATTCTGCTGTCATATATAAATAAAAAATTTTAAAAACTGTATACCCAGATATCCTTAGGAACATTATTCATAATAGCCAAAGGTTGGGAAGAATCTAAATTTCCATAAGTGAATAAACTAACCATGGTATATCCAACCCAAGGAATATTATTCCATCTTAAGAAGGAATTAAGTACTGACACAACATGGATGAGCCTTGAAAGCATTATGCAAAGGAAAGAAGCCAGTCACAAAAGATCACATACTTCACGATTCATTCATATGAAAGTCCAGAACGAGGAAACTTAGAGAAAGCAGGATAGTGATTTTTGCATGCTCGGGGAAGGCAGGAGGATATGGGGCAAGAAGGGGGCAGCTAAAGGTAGAATTTGTTTTTGAGGTGGAAAAAAGTATATAACTAGCAAGCAATGATGGTTGTATGTATCTGTAATTATACTAAAAGCCATTGAACTGTGCACTTTGAGTCGGTGAACTGTACAGTATGTCAACTGTAACCTGTTAAAAATTGTTAGGAATAAAGTGAACAAAAAACTCTACAGTAGGCCCTGTGCTGGCCTCTCGGCCAGCAGGGTGTGGGCACTGGGTATGATGTGAAGCCAATGCGGCAGTTCTGGTTCCCCAGTGGGAACACCCTGCAGCACCAGCTGGGACTTGGGGTGCTCCATGATTCCCAGCCTCCCCGGGTGTCCTGGATGATCACTTCAACCTCTTCACCCAGGAGGTAGGTAAAGGGCTTGGGCGCCACGCTGACTGGATATCATTCCTGCTGGCCTTGGCAGTGTGGTGGAGACAGTGAGGCAGGTCTCCAGAGCAGTGTTGGCAAGGATATGGCAGAACATATTCCCAGGCAAAGCATGGCAGGCAGCCGCAGAGAAGATGACCAGGGGCCACGTGCTATCCAACCTCAAGGCCACCTTCCCCAGTGTGCAGAGAAATACTGCAGGACATGTTGGTGTAGCTGACCAGGTAATTTTCTGGAACATTCTAAAGAAAATATCTAAGCCTCAAAAAGGTGCCAACAGAAAATATTACCATCTGGCCTTCCTAATGCCACAGGAGGATCTTTGAAGAATGTCCCTACTGTGGAGTGTGTGGCTGTAAATGGTAGCTCTGTGCCAAATGAAACAAGATAATTGGGGTGACGGCAGATGGTGGTTCAAATGTGGAAACTGTAGGTTTACCTCATTGTAGGATGTACAATTAGAAGACCTCAGGAATCATCGTCTTGTTCCCTTTCAGAAGTGATGAAAGATTCTTTAGATGTTTGGAAATATGCTGGAAAGCCTGGGTACAGACTCTCATTCTTGAACATTGTGCGATAGAAGTACAAAGCTACAAAGCTAACCGGTGTGTGAAAACGTGTATATACACATTGATCAAGAAGAGACATCTGTGCTAACAATACATCTTAAAAGCACTCGGGGTGCAGGGAGACATATGGCCACTCTGAGATCAGAAACATTCCAGGGCCAGAGACTGCCAGTGAAGGCTGGTGAAGGCTGACTCGAGCTCTTACATATAGTAGCAGCTGTGCTTAACAGCTTTGCCCTGTTAACAGGATGTCAGCTCAGGAAGAGTAAGTTGCTTTGTGCCTCAAGTACTGCCCTTAGGGCTGTGTGTACAGCTCAGTGGTACAGTGTTGCCTAGCATCCCAGGTTCAATCCCCAGCATCACCAAAATATTTTTTAAAATTTTAAAAAGCACAAATATGAGAACTGCCATGATTTTTGTATAATTGTCATATATAAGGCATATATGTTAAACCAATAGCTGAGTCTATATATAACCATTTGTACAAAACCCTTACCATTTGTTAGTATCTTCATATAAAATGAGGCCAAAGAAAGATTTTGTAGAAGTGTTCAATGTAACTCTATAGCTAAATCTGAGGGTTTTTTTAAATCCCAATATGGATAAAAACTACAAAAGCCACACATTTATTAATATGCAGCAAATACCATATTCTGTTATTGAATATTTCTATGGATTAAGACACTAAAGGTTTAAATAGCTGCTTTTTTGAACTTTTAATAAATGTTAACAAAATTTTAAGGAAAGGATGCATAATGATATTCCTAGATTATCATTGTACAATATCTGTTAATTTTTTTTTAATTGTGTTTCACCTGTGGGGTTAACTATTCTGTCTTGCTATTGATTTTCATTATCCCTATGAAAGATGCATGGCTTGTTCTTTTCCCTTGACCTAGAAATTAGCCTTGTCCTTGTAAGATTTAGTTTAAGTTTTTGGAATTGACCCTAAGGATTTTGCTACATTCTCTCAGGCACATAAGTGGCAAGAAAACAACGTAAGAATATAAATTACTCTACCCTGACTGAAAGTTATTTGACATATATAAATGGAGTAACCCTTTTTAAGTTCAAAGATACAAAGTGTGACTGTATTTCAATTCCTAAAAACTGCTGGGTATTTCAAATATTCTTTTCAACTCGTCAATTATAATTGAATTTATCTTTACCCCTCCAAAAATCCATGGATAAAGTTTATGTGTTACATTCTCCCTTGACATTCATTCAAGAAACATTTACTGAGCACATGACCACTGGAATCCATTAAGGACTATAGGAAACCAACTAGAGGTCAAATTAGGTAGGAGTCAGCTTCTGTGGGCTCATGGTCCATTTTATTCACCTTTACCCTTCCCTTTTTGCTATTTTCTTTTGCCTTTATTCCCTCCACCTCCCTTCCTTAGCAAAAATCCTATCCATCATTGAGATCCCAGCTCAAACACAGTCCTATCTCCCTCATTTAACATTGTCATTGAGCACCAAGGGCTTGGTAGGCACTGAGCAATGTAATAGTAAATAAAGAGGCAAAGACACCTGCCCTTAAGGAGCATTAGGGTCTGTAAGAGGAGGAGGAGACTAAATCAGGAGTGCAATTACACTCGCACCACTGGGACAGGAAACAATCTGTACACAGTGGCTCAGACACCATTTGTTAAATATTTAATAAGTACTCATTCTGTGTTTGTGTGCCAAGCACGATTCTAAGTGTTTAATATACATCAAGAGACATTGTCAAGAATCAACCAAAAAAATAAACAAATTGAATTCTAGATTAATAAGCTAGGAAGAATGGCAGAACATATTACCAGAAATGGCTACAACCATGTCCTCCATCCCACATGCTCTCCTGCAAGGTGACCTTCCCTTTCCCACCATTGGAAGTAAGACTGGAATGTCTTCTGTGTCTACAGAAGAAATAATGCTATTCGTTATTTTGAATAAATGTCCCACAAAGGCTCATGTGTTAAAGTCTTGTTCACCAGTCTATAGCACTATTTGTAGATAGTGACACCTTTCAGAGATGGGAGAAAATTAGATCACAGGAGGCATGGCCTTGAAGGGGATATTGGGACACTGGACCTTTCTTCCCTCCCCACCTTCTCTCCCTCCATCTCCAGCCACTATGATGTGCTGCCTCGTCAACCATGGACTGAATCTCCAAAATGGAGCAAAAATAAACCGTTCTTTTAAGT